CCCCCCCCCCCCCCCTCCTCTACTTTAATGCATCCTCATATAAAATGTATATATTGTCTAAATTGTAATTTTCTCCGTTATCAGTAAAATCTTTGTAGATCCTGCAGATCCCGGAGATCCTGGAGATTCTTTAGATCCTGCAGATCTTGCAGATTCTGTAGATCCTGCAGATCCTGTAGATCCTGTAGATCTTGTAGATCCTGTAGATTCTGCAGATCCTACAGATCCCGCAGATCCTGGAGATTCTGTAGATCCTGCAGATCCTGCAGATTCTGTAGATCCTGCAGATCCTGTAGCTCATGTAGATCCTGTAGATCCTGTAGATCCTGTAGATCCCGTAGATCCCGTAGATCCTGTAGATCCCGTAGATCCCGTAGATCCCGTAGATCCCGTAGATCCCGTAGATCCTGTAGATCATGTATAATCTATTTGTTTCAAAGTTATACATCCCGAAAAATTATAGGCGCAGAATTTCTTCTGGAAATCTTGAGGCTTAGGTTTTCCAATGAAACTTCGTGAATCTAAGATTTCTCTCAGATTGTTCCGCAAAACTACCCATCCAACATCGATGACACAAATATTAAACTCAATTTTCTCAGGATTATGATTAATGAAAAAAATTAACAATTTAATCCTGTTAAACATTGGTTTTCTTGTAGTTCCTGAAGATCCAATAGATTATTGTTAAGGCGGATATCAATGTTTTATTTGGAAATGTTTCAAATGGTTAATTTACTTATCTTTATAAACCTGACACTGTGTAACCCCCCCCCCCTCTGACTTAAATGTATCCCCATATAAAATGTCTATATATTGTCTACGGTGTAATTTTCTTCATTATCTGTTAAATCTTTTATGAAGAGAATGTTCCCTAGGGAAGAATATTTTCAAGTTTAAATTGCACACTCTAGAATATAGAGATTTAACTTTTATGAATTTTAAAATAAAATGTGTCTTTAAAAATAGTTTTATATCGAAAATACATTTTTAAGGTCTGTGTGATTGTTCAGATGATCTAAATAACTCATCTTTAACAAATCTGTTAACAGGGTTATTCACAAGGAATGAGACTTCTTGATCTAACAGAGTTCATAGATTGAAATATCAAAGGACTACAACATCGGGTTGCAAGGATATGGAATAAAAACAGTTGGCGGTAAGAACTCGGTGATTTTTAACTTATTTTCGCTCCCATTTCGGGAACGTTATAAAATTTGGAAATTTAAATCAAACCTGCCAGACCCTTTCTCTTAAACTCTTCTGCTTTATTTGAATATAATCAATGATATATAAAGGTAATGACGTGACTTTTTTTGTCTTTTCTTTAATATATTGACAATTGTATTTTTATGAACATTTTATTCTTTCCATGAACTCCAGTGGTTAGTCTCTTTTCTGGGAGAACTGCTCAGGAAGAAAAGAGAACTATTCTCCTTAAATTTAATATAAGGAAAGACTGAACTCAACTCAAATCAATCTGAAAATTGGAAATCCAGATTTATAAATCAGCGAAAAGCTTTATAACAGGGAAACCATGGGGACAAGGGTAAAATACTTTGTAAAGAAGTTTAGTTTCCCAATTGTAAATCTTTATAAAAATTATATACATTGAGAAGGTAAATTGGTCTGTTTATACACCTTTCTATTTCTAACTCAGGAAAAAATGGATCCGATCAGTTAGAGCAATGGATGTTTACAGTACAATGTACTTTGTCACTGTTGTTTCACGTCTATACAGTTTACACTGATCAATGATCAGGGATACTACACAATACAGGAATATTAGAGAATTCATGGATATTAGAGAATGCACAGGGATATCTTTAGAGAATACAGGGATATTAGAGAATACATGGATATTAGAGTTTACAGGATTATTAGAGAATGCAGGATTATTAGAGAATGCAGGGATATTAGAGAATTGCAGTGATAATAGAGAATACAGAGATATTTTTAGAGAATACAGGGATATTAGAGAATGCATGGATATTAGAGATTACAGGATTATTAGAGAATGCAGGGATATTAGAGAATACAGGGATATTAGAGAATACACAGATATTTTTAGAGAATACAGGGATATTTGAGAATACATGGATATTAGAAATTTCAGGATTATTAGAGAATGCAGGGATATTAGAGAATAAAACCAGGGATACTAGAGGAACCAGGGATACTATAGGAACCAGGGATACTAGAGGAACCAGGGATACTAGAGGAACCAGGGACACTAGAGGAACCAGGGATGCTAGAGAAACCGAGGATAATTTAGAAACCAGGGATACTAGAGGAACCAGGGATACTATAGGAACCAGGGATACTAGAGGAACCAGGGATACTAGAGGATTGGAAAGTAAAGGGGAATAATACGAAAATTTATGAATATGTTGACTGACTGCTATCATTTTGGTTTGGCAGATGTTAATTTAGAATGAGAAAAGGATAATATTGAATAAGGAATAATGAAATGCAACATGAACATCGTATGAAACATACATCTTTATCAAATTATATCTTGAGCTTTAAGTATACATTGTTTCAATAAAACCGCCATCAATAACCTATTAATGCAGTAAAGAATGGTTTGGGTTAAAGTGAAAGGCTGTAAAGGTTGTGTTAGGGAGTAAATTGGACGTTTGGTGACCATTTTGTGAAGAATGATAGAGGTTGAGAGTGAGGTCCAGTTGGTTGAGGCTCAGTCTAGTCCTCTCTCTCTCCCTCACACCACCAGTCCTGGTCGATACACACTACAAAACATCACGCAAACCATCTTTTAAATACATAAGAAGAATCAATTAGTTATTTTTGTGAATACGTGGTGATAGTGAGTTAACAGACAAGGATTAGAGAAGCCCAGAAGAGAACCCTGAGAAACGTCCTGCGCAGAACCTGGTTTCTGTATACTCAAGGTGGAAACTGTTTTAACAATGTTTGCTGAATCAGTTCTATTCAAATATACACCTTGAGGGAGGGTAAACAGAAGCTAGAGCAGGACCAGATAATGCACAATCAATCATTCAATTAACGATGTTTATTGTTTACGTATTGTATAAAGAATACATAAAGCTTGAGGGGTCAAACGAGACAGTTCTGCAGTGTTGAGAAGGGTGGAACGGGATGTTAAACTGAAATTACATAATGCAGAGATATTAGCTCTAAAATCCACTTCAAGTATTATTTCTAGAAAAACATGAGGAATAGAAAACTAATAATATAAATTTGAACTTTTTCTTCAAATTATGATTTAAGATATTAAAAATATAGCTCATTACTTTCCGGAAAGTATGAAAAGTTGCATGTGAAAGGAAAGAAAGTACTGTTTAACAAAAACATCAAATTGTTGGAAAGAAAATTTGTTCAAAAAATAATAAAGAAAGATTGTCATAGAAGTTAAAAGTAAAAGAAATCTGTTAAGGAAATGTCTAAAAGAAAAGTGTCAAGAAAAGGTGTAAAGGAAAGGTGGAAAGGAAAGGAGTCAAGGAAATGCGTAGAGGAAAGGTTTAAGGGAAAGGTGTCCGTAAATAAAGAAGTCAAGGTAAGGTTTAGAGGAAAAGTGAAAGGAAAGGGGAAGGATAAGTAAAAAATAAAAGTGTAAAGGAAAGGTAGAAAAGATAGGCGTAAAGGAAAGTGCCAAGGAAAATTTAAGGAAAGGTTTAAAGGAAGGATGTAAATAAAGGTACAAAGAAAAGGTGTAAAGGAAAGATGTAAAGGAAATGTGTAAAAGAAAGCTGTAATAGAAAGGTGTAAAAAAAGGTGAAAGGAAAAGTGAAAAGGAAAAGTGAAAAAGAAAAGAGTAAAGTAAACGTGTAAAGGAAAGGCTTAAAAAAAAGAAAGGTAAAACAAAAGGTGTCAAGGAAAGATTAAAAGGAAAGTTTAAAAGGAAAAGTGTAAAAAGAAGATGTAAGGGAAAGGTATAAAGAAAATTTGAACAGAAAAGTTTTAAAGGAAATGTGTGAAGAAAAAATGTAAAGAAAGATGTAAAGGAAAAATGGGACAGAAAGGTGTTAGAAAAAGGTGAAAGTAAAAGTGAGGAATTCATCACAATAACTTTAATAAAGATAGATCTCTTCTGGCAATATCTGTACAGCGCTGATAAGATATACGTCAGAACTCTTTAAATGGATCGGATAAATATCAGGATTGGTTAAATGACTTTTACTTTTAATACGTTCTATTCATGAACAAAAAATCCATTTTCGGATAAATTAACATCGAAATTATAATGTTCATAATAAGTATTATGCTTAGTGAGCGAGTGTTAATTATGGATTTTTGCAAAAAAGTAAAGAAAAAAGCTTGTACAAATAACAAATAAGAATAGAATGTTGGAAAGATCATCAAGATATTTTCTCACGAGTAGAGAAGTTAAACCTTGACATTAGGTTTGTGCCAGCAGAAAGGAAAAAGAAAAGAAAACAAAGAATTTCTTTCCAATAGATAGAATTCTCAATATAAATCAAAGCGCTTCAATTTATTTGATCATCTATCTATCAATCTTGGAATGTCTAGACTTGTCCTGTATTCCCTGTCATTTCTTGTCCTTTCATATCCATCCTTGTCCTGTATTCCCTGTCATTTCTTGTCCTTTCATATCCATCTTTGTCCTGTATTCCCTGTCATTTCTTGTCCTTTCATATCCATCCTTGTCCTGTATTCCCTGTAATTACTTTCTCTTTCATCTCCTTTCTTGTACTGTATTCCCTTGTCATTTCTTTCTCTTCCATCTCCTTTCTTGTTCTGTATTCCCTTGTCATTTCTTTCTCTTCCATCTCCTTTCTTGTCCTGTATTCCCTGTAATTTCTTTCCCTTTAATATCCTTCCTTGTCCTATATTCACCATAATTTCTAGTCCTTTCATCTCCTTCCTTGTCCTATATTCCCTATCATTTAGTCCTTTCATATCTTTCCTTGTCCTATATTCCCTATCATTTAGTCCTTTCATATCCAATTCCTTGTCCAGTAATCATATATTTTTTACCTAGAATACAAAGCCTTTCAATGAAATACTAAATGATTTGACATGTCTGTCGTGTCGTGTCTGAAATCTATTCCTTGATGGTTAACCCTCTATGACATTGTTGTGTAAATCCAAACAGTGGGACCCATACAACTGTAAAAAAGGGAGAAGACAGTTAGATTAAATTTACGATTTCACTTTAAAATATTTCTTTATTTATCTAATTCTAAGCTATTTGTAAAATTGTTTGCTTCATAAACACTAAATTGTCGTCTTCCTATTCCAATGTTGATATGTCTGACTGTAGTACCATGCACACTGGCCATTGTATAAAAGTGTTGATATGGGAGTATGGGGGAAAAAGCAATACTTTCTAATTATATGCTTTTCTTTTTATTCTCTATCAACACAAATAAACATATGTAAAAAGAAAGTGTATTTTTCCTAGGAAACTTATTTTCAATTAAATCATGAGAGGGAGGGGGGATGAATTAAACTATCGTATAAAAATGAAGAAAATTAAAGGTTCATGAATATAAGGGTTTAACAAAAAAGATATAAAAAACACAGTTCCAAGAAGAGTTCAAATAAATCTAAATCTTTTGAAAACGAATTCTTTTTATACAGTCGTCGATGATCGAGTGAGAAAAATTGATAGTTCTTTAATTTCTAGTAAAATTTTAATTCAACTGATTTAGTTTTTTTTTAACCTACTGTAAAATTCATTTGGTTTTATTTATCCAATTTATTCAAACATTTTCCATTTTCTTTATCTTTTCAACGTGTTGCTGCATTTCCGCCTTTTTAGTTTAGTTAAAAGTCTTTCAAAGGCAGAATAAAAGATTTATTTAAGTTATTTCATTTAAAATATAGATTTTCAATTAAGAACCGATTTTCATCCAGAGACATGAAAATGATTTTGAATTTTTTTCTCTGTAGAGGTCCAAAGGTTTCCCAATTAATTCTTAGAAACTATAAAAGTTAAAAAAACAAGTGTGCTCTCTATAGCTCTGAAGTGTACATGTAGAGTTAAGTGAGAATAAGTGAGTTAGTTTGGTAAAATAAAAATCCAAACCGTGGAGACACTTTGAATCCAAGCCGTGGAGACACTTTGTTGTTTGTTGCACTGCCTCTCTCAGTGAAAACTCTCAAAACTAAAATACTCGAAAATACTTTAATTAGATTTGATTTTACTTTAGAGTAATTTTTGAGCCATCCCTTAAAAGCTATCTATTTAATAAAGCTCTTCGCTCATTTATATGTTCGCTATATCAGGCCAAACGGCTGAACCAAATTGGCTGAAATTATTGAAGGAACCCAAACATGCTAAAAATTATGGAATTTTCTTGAATTCCACGGGCAACCTCGGGCACTGCTAAAATGATGATTTAAGACCAAGCGCGGGTAAACGACGGGAGTAAGTATGAGTAACCTGGAGAACGAACCAATCCAGCTAGTTTTTATATAAACAAATGTTAGAGGAGTAAGCTTTGTATAGATCCCGGATAAGTCAAGGTAAGATATTAAGGTCTGTTCATATTGGAAAAGCTCAATATTCTCGACTAGACAAGGATAAGGATATAAAATGTCAAAAAGAAAGTTTAAAGAGACTGTAGACGTAATTTAACTTAATTTTCCTTTATAGAGTGATGTGCCCAATTCACAGCGGTCATCGAGGAGGAAGAATTGATATTATTATTTTTTCAGCTGGATTTGATTATTTTCAATTGTCTTTTCTCTGTAAAAATTACTAGCGGATTTATGCAGCATAAAATAAGAAGGAAATTGTCGCTTTCATGTTATTCAGACAGAGGTTTAAATTGTACTGTAGTGAATCAGACAGAGGTTTAAAGTGTACTGTCGTGAATCAGACAGAGGTTTAAAGGATACTGTCGTGAATATGACAGAGGTTTAAAGGATACTGTCGTGAATCGGACAGAGGTTTAAAGTGTACTGTAGTGAATCAGACAGAGGTTTAAAGGATACTGTCGTGAATCAGACAGAGGTTTAAAGTGTACTGTCGTGAATCAGACAGAGGTTTAAAGGGTACTGTCGTGAATCGGACAGGTTTAAAGGGTACTGTCGTGAATCGGACAGAGGTTTAAAGGGTGCTGTCGTGAATCGGACAGAGGTTTAAAGGATACTGTCGTGAATCGGACAGAGGTTTAAATTGTACTGTAGTGAATCGGACAGAGGTTTAAAGGATACTGTCGTGAATCGGACAGAGGTTTAAAGGATACTGTCGTGAATCAGACAGAGGTTTAAAGGGTACTGTCGTGAATCAGACAGAGGTTTAAAGGGTACTGTCGTGAATCAGACAGAGGTTTAAAGGATACTGTCGTGAATCAGACAGAGGTTTAAATTGTACTGTATTGAATCGGACAGAGGTTTAAAGTGTACTGTCGTGAATCAGACAGAGGTTTAAAGGTTACTGTCGTGAATCAGACAGAGGTTAAAAGGATACTGTCGTGAATCCGACAGAGGTTTAAAGGGTACTGTCGTGAATCGGACAGAGGTTAAAAGGATACTGTCGTGAATCGGACATGCCACTCAATTTAAATCACATATACAGTCCCTCTCAGCAGGTAAAGATAAGAATGAGGATTAGAAGAGAATGAAGAAAAGTAGGCTGGAAGGGATCCATGAGGAAGACCGGATGAAACCAAGAATATGTGAGATTCTAAAAGATAATCCGTATTTTATCTGAGAGATTCCCTGTAAGTGAGCAGCCTCAGGTTTAGGATTATCTCTAAAGTTTCAAAATATTTTAAATATAAATTCATTCTAGACGCGAATACAGACTTCAAGGTTTAAATTCAGCTTTTCAAGATAAATATCATTATCTTATTATTTTATATGTTAAAGAGAATCAATCTGGAAAAAAGAATGACACTAGCTAAAAAATGTGCTAGTCAAAAATCATGAAAAAATAACATTAAAAAGTGAAGGTGTA